AACTGTTACCACTGTTGACCGGTCCTTGCTTCCCCAATGTTGAAGAATAACACCAGAGAAGCACTCCGAGGCAAGGTCAGAGTAGAAATTAGAAGTTTATTAAAAGACAGCAGAAAAGACTTCTCCTGAGGAAGAACGGGACCCAAGAGATGGAATCAGTGGAAGTGGGGTTGTTTCCCCTTTTTATAGTTCTTTCAGTGGTGGAATGTAGGTGGGAAGGCCCGAAGGGTGGGACCCAGGGGGCCAAAGGAGTAATCTGGGCAGGAAGGTCTTCTGAGTCTGCATCTTCAAGTTTGCTGGGGGCTGTTCATTAACACTTCTTTGGGATGGGCTCTGGCCTTGGGCTTTTTCCTGGACTTCATTAACATTCCATGAGTTGTCCTGGTTTCCGGAATTCATTCTCAACATGGCCTCCATTTTAGATCTTACTGGATATTAGACCAGATTTACCTAACTAAACTAACTACCTAACTTTAAATCTGGCTTCACAACCACTTAAGAAAGTAGTGAGACATTGGAAACCAGGACCTGCCCTCCCATCCACGCACACACGTTCTCAGACCTACTCCCCTAGTGGTGCTGGGGAGTAGATCCGCCTAATTAAGAACTTTCTTTTTTTTTTTTTTGAGTGACCTCCAGGGACTCCGTTTTCTCATCCTTAAAATGGAAGACTGTGTTTTTGTGAAGGAGGGTCTGGGTTCTATCTCACATTAGGAAGTATTACAGTTTCCTTTTCTGTAAAACAGGAAGAATAATTTCTTCTCTGTTGGCTGCGAAACTGTTGGGTAAACCATTAACTTTGAGTTCCTTTAGGACCTTGATGGGGGCTGGATCTATGAAGTGATTTTATGCCATTTCCCAGCTTGAGGTGGGAAGGGAATGGAAAGGGCGATTTTCCTTGGACTCTTCAGTTAGGCGACTACTTCATCGGATTGCAAGCTTTCCGCCCTGTAAACCGGGAGTTTTGAGCAGTGGAGAGCCGCAAGGCCTTTTCTCGGGGAAAGCTTATGGTTGGCCTCTTGGCATCCACGTGCTAACCTGGCTGGCTGGGAGGCTCCAGCTCCGGTCCCGACCAGTTGGAGCCTGAGGGGCGGGGAAGGTAGTGACGTCAAATCACCGCCTATCCTCCTTAAAGGCACAGGCTCACTCCGAATTCGTTTTTTGTGTATGTGTGTTAGGACAAAAAAAATCATACGCTCAAAAAAGTTTTAAAAGTGAAATGGAGGTGGCGTCTCGGGTGCGGGGCTGTGCGGGAGAAAAGGTTCTCGCTGAGAATCTGGATCAGAAACGTCGGCACTGGATTTAAGCCCGTCTCACCTGGGGTGGCAGCCGGGTGCAAGGGGAAAAGTTCCTGAAGGTTCGAATTCCGGGCTCTTTAACTTTGAACCTCAGTTTAACCTGCAAAATGGTGCAGCCTAATTCAAAAAAAGTTTTTTGAGCCTTGGAAGACTATGGGAAAATAACCCAACACAAAAATTGTCTGTTCCTTACTCCCCGACTCAATGCTTTCACCGTGTGCTCCAGGAATTCCTGACCCAACCCGTTGTTGAAAATTGCTCAAGGTCTCAGGGGGATGGTACTCGGGTCTCCCGGCACCCGGGTCAACTGTGTCCAAAACGCCTGGCCCGGGTTATGGCTCATCTAACTTAACTGCACACTCACAAGTGCTCTGCAGTTCATAAGGCAGTTTTGGAGCTGCAGTCGCGTTTCACTATCGTAAAAAGGGCGATGTTAATTCCTGCCAGACACTATCGCCATAAAGTAGTAAAACTTCAGCAGGGCGTAGACTGGCCAACGTTTGCCTACGACTGGTGTATTTCCTAGCGACCTCGAAGAACTGATGAGGACACCGAAGAGGCGAACTGTGCGATCGATACCGACGCCGTCTGGAAAGTTGCTGCGAGCGCTGAGACTCCCGGCGCAGTGATCCACAGGGATGTAGGCGGGATGGGGCTTGTGAAAACACGCGTCAAGTGCGGTGCAGCAGCCCGGTCAAGCGTGAGGTGCAGACAGCGACCTTGACCCTCAGGCTTCAAGGAGCACTGGGCAAGGATGGAATCCGCCCGCGAGATAGCGGCGCTAGGGCGGGACTACGGCAGGTGGGGCAAGAGAAAACGAGTGGGTGGGACCTGTGGTACTCCGGGTAGGATACCGGTTGGCCCACGGAGGCGGGGCTTAGAAGCTGTTCGGGGGCGGGGTCAGCTAGACCAATTTCCCAGTCCGCCCTATGCGAGGCGGGCGAGCGCGCGCGCACCCTGCACCGGCCG